AATAAACGTATGAAAAATGATAGATACCATATATCGATTTCTTGAAATAAACTTTCAATATCTACGAGAATTTATTAAGTGAACTAGCCAGTAGAACAAAATAACATAATTAGACATTTAAGAAAATATTTGTATTTATTTAAGGAAATACAAAGAATTGTATATTGTGTAAAAAAAAAAAAGAACTTTGCGTACTTTGTGTACTTTGCTAAAATTAAATCTTCAGTATAAGGTGATACGTACCCATTAGCAGTCTTGCGTCTTTGTCTTATGACAAAACAAATACAGCATTACAATGAGTCCATATTAACAACAGAACAATAACGTTTGTCTAGCAGCTTTCGTGTTGATCTTCTATCGGAAGTGCATGTATGCATATTAACGTATGCATATGAAGATTATGCTAGTGCAGTTTATGCTAGTAAGAAGCAATAACATGATCCTATACGTATATAGTATTCAATGCGGATAAAACGTGAACACGTAATCAGATCAAATCACGATTGTGATTTTAATTCATACTCTGACGATAACAATTTTCCAAGTTTTCACAAAATTCTATGAATATGAGATATTATTGCGTGAGACTGTCGTGAATTTGAACGAGTGATTTCTTAGTACTCTTGAGAGAAAAAAAACTGCATGAATTTTTACACGCAGATATTTTTAATTTTATTCTGTATAACGTTCACAATAGCAGGGATACCAGATATCCGGTGAAATTCTCACAGCTCCTGTTTCATCGAATTCAATCCTACAGGATTTTCATTGGTTACTACTGCGGAATGGAAATGTGTCAGGCCATTGGCTCTTGCTATTTGAATGGATTCGAGTGTTCGGTTAACGTGTTCTATCTACGGCCTACGATCACTCTTCGATTGATTGACGTTCTCTTTTGTTCTCTTCTCTTGTATTTAAGTATGGAAAAAGAATGTGAGAATATATTGTATTTGGAGAGTAAGAAAAACTGTGTATGCAGTGTAGACAGTTTTACATACAATGTATATCTCGTTATATATAGCAGAAAAAACGTGAACATAGAAAAACTTTATGTTGCACAAGTCGAAGTTCTAATTTCGCTGTTCGAAGAGCGAATTTTATAAATTTTCTAAATAATATTGCATTTTTTAAATGCAATTTGTTAAAATTTTGTGGTGTTGCATTAAAACGTAACGAACTCTTTGCGTGTGGCATAACTTTTATTAACATGAGCGGAACTTTTTGGAAAGCTAGTGTACATTCAACTTTCCGAGCGGCTAGTGACACGGAAGTAACACGCGATCGATTATGTCACACAGAGAGGGATGTAAATAACTCCACTTTGCATAGGAAGCGGAAGTAAAAGTACCGCTAAGTGGATTAACGGTCCTCTTCTATGTCATAAAATATTGCGTGCGATTTCGTATATTTGAATACAATAGGGGGTAATTCCGATATATATGCCGCATCTATTGAAAACTTAATTCAAGTATTAGTTACACGATGTGTTTAAAATAGATAAACTTTATCAATAAAGATTTTATATTGTCTTTTACTATTAAAAAACTCACGAAATATTTGTTCTTACACTTTTAAAAAACACTTGCATTTTTGCTATGTATATATATATATATTTTATAGAGATGGGTCATATATGGCCATATATAAGATTCATAAGAAATTTATGAATATGGTCTTTTATTTATCTATAAAAGCTTACAAGTTTCACTCAGAATTAAATATATAAAATATTGAGTAGAAAAAAACTTAACAATTATATTATTAGTATGAGGATTATTAATTTTTTATTTATATCAGTAAAATAATAATTTATAAGTAAGAATCAGAATAAAATATTGCGAATTAAATACCTTTTTTATTACTAAAATATTTACATATAATATTTATTATCTGACATTTATACTTACTTGTTAGATAACACTGGATAATAATAAGCTTTTTAATAAAAATAATAAACAGTAAAAATTGTTTAACACTTTAAGACAAAACTTATTTCAACAAAAACTAGAAATGTGATATAAATTACAAAAATCTAAAATGTTATAAAATGTCGTATAAAATAATTTTAGGTTTTAACGTTTAATTACTCTTATTTAAAAGACTGTGGAAATGAGTTACGTTACTTATTACGTTAAAAAATTGACTGAACTGACGATGGTTTTGTTAATAACAAGTTGAAATCACAACAAAATGTTAACATAACATAAAAGCATGTGACAAAATGGTTATGCGCCAATTATTTTTATTCTTTCTATTTTGTTTTATCTAAATGGCGCAAATATTTCAGAATTACCCTATATATACATTATACACTTTTGTATATATATCATATCATGATTATTATTATATTGTATTATTATATTATCATACGTGAAACAAATTGAAGAAAAATAAAATAAAATAAAATAAAAAAGGTAAAATACACGAGAAATACACAAGAAATTTAGCCGCAGAGATGAAATACATTCGTAATATTGGGTGTGAAAAGTATGTAATGTTAAGCTAGATACACGGAACTAGCTATAGCGGATAAAGTGAATTAGCTAGATTAACAAGTTAATCTGGCGGTTTTGCGACAGTCAGTTAATTTGTGTGCGTTCAGCAGCTGTGTGTATGCATTATATGTATATTTTATATATATATGACATTTCCGAGAGAGAAGATCCCGAACTGTAACGCAAGTAGTGCCGAGAATAAAAAAAACCTGGGGATTTTCTTAGCTTAAATATATCGTCGATTGATGAAAAATGCGTTTAATAATTTGACGAACGGAAGAATTGATTATTGGATCTGCGGGAGCAGAAGTTATCGCGGTGCTAATATCTTTCGAAGATCCGTTCTTGTGCGAAATTTAGTTTCTTCTTCTTGATATTGGATATTTGATATCGGAAAAGAAACGTAACGAGAATAACCTCTAAGGAACATTTCATGCCTGGCGAACGTCACGAGAATTAATTTTATCAGTAATCAAGCGCGAGAATCGGATTAAGACTTGGAGCGCACTTGTACGGGGAAGGCGTAGTCATTTCTATTCAATCCTTTTATCTGGAGCGTCGCGGATTAGCGAGACTTAACACAGTTATTAACATTGTTATCGTAATCCTCTTGCGAAGGGGGACGACAGTTCCATAAATATTTTCTTGCCTCAACATATATATTGTGTTTTATTGTTTATTTTATTCAAAAATAGAGTAATTCTTTCTCTCTTTTCTTTTTTTTTCTGTAAAGCTCACGGATTTAAAGTAACGTTCTTTTATCAAAGTGGAATATTGTTTGATAAAAAATTTTTAATAAATAGTCTACTTCTATTCGACATCGTGCGATTTCTAAAACTAGTCTTATTCCGATATTATATATATGTATATATATATATATATATATATATATATATATGTATATATGTATATATGTATATATGTGTATATGTATATATGATATATATGATATATATTTCAAAGGATTTTCAGTTTTAATGGTGTGTTTTAATGCATATAAAGCTTTTTACTGCAAGATATTAAAAAACTTTTAATATCTCTTGGTCTCTGAGTTCTTTATGCGTCTCTCGTTTTATGATCGTAGTGCTATGTAGTGTATGTACTACATTCATTCGGTGTATACAGAATTCTCTCTTTTACATCTCTTATAATTTATCTTAACAAACTCATGTGTATTCTATATATATTTCTATGGCAGAAATAATAATTTTGCGATGTTTTATTTACAAATGAGTTATTAAAATTTTGCAATTTATTTCGAAGAATTATTTGCGTTAGTCTCCATCTACACGTATTTAAAATTCGCGTGGCGATTTCTCTCTGGTTTTGTGTTTGTGTCTACATTGTGTGTTTTTGTTCGAGTTAGAATATAGTTAACAATTCTGCGCAAGTTGGCGCTGTAATGTAGTTGCAAGTATCTCTCTAATTCAACATTTAAAGCAAGATTACATGTTAATTAGATCATCGCTGATGGTGATCTATGTGTCGGTGCCGATGAAACGTCGTGTAGCGGTTGCTACAACTAACCGCGGGAATAGAGGCTCAGTACGTCGAAAGAGCTTACGAGCGATCGATAGGTTTGTGCGGCAAATGTAGCTCTACAGCAGCAGGGCAGAAGCAGGCGATCGACCTGAATGTTTCGCGAAAATATATTGTACAAAAGTATTGTTATTTAAGCGCGCTTGCGATTCTCGCTACAATATCGTGCACAACAGAGAGAAAGAGAGCTTGATAGCTAACATGCCTGTAGAATTCTTTTACATCGGATCGTCAGGTTGTAAATGTAAGAGAATGTTTTTTTTATAAAAAATATTTTTTAAAAAAAGATATTTGTATAAAAACCTACAGGATATTTGTATAAAAATATGTGCACACGCAAAAAAAAAACAGTAGTCAGGTGATTATCGCGGTAAAAAATTGCTTTTTAGAAACTAAACTAAGCTTCTTAGAGTTTAAAAACTTCGGAGCCGAAAAGATTCTTTATTAATTGGTTTTTTCTTTTTATCAGCTGACACTTTTATTCAAAAATATAATTTTATTTTTACTAAAGCTTTTGTGAGTTTATTTTTTAAAAATTATTACGCCTTGACGCGCGTGTATGCCGATACACGATTGCCGAACCGTCGATTGTATTTTTATATCGGTAATAATTAAAGTACGCGGCGAAGCAGAAAATTGATTCGATTTGCAGTAACTACAAAGTTTGAGTGGAAACCGTCTAAATGCTCGTGTCCGTTGAAAACACGTGCTTCCGAGTCGACACGTAAACTTTTGAACAAAGAATGTGTCCCTTATATGTCGCACGGTTTGACTTCCAGCCATTAGATGGCAATTTGCAGCAGTTTCGCCGGTCCGCATCGATTATAGGCTCGTATGTGCTGCGTCACCGTTGCATGCAGCAAGCACTTGCATCGTGCTTCGTGGTGGCTGCATTTTACGATAAAGGTTATTAACCGGATCAAACATTCGTGTGTACTAATCGCGTTATTTTCGCTTCTCTTGCAGAACGTCTTGCGGGAGTTGGAGCAAAAGAAACCACAATTGGACGAGCTGGTTCATACGGCCGAGAATTTACGCGCCGACACGAATCGACAGCAGTTGCATGGCAAGGGTAAGTTTTTTTCGTTTTGTTTTTTTTTATGTTGTACTTACAACCCGCTTTGTGTTTGATATCACAAATCTCTCGACTCATCGTTTTTTTTTTTTTTTTTTTTTTTTTTTTTTACTTTGAAACAACGTGTTCGAACGTTCATTTCCGNCGGCCGAGAATTTACGCGCCGACACGAATCGACAGCAGTTGCATGGCAAGGGTAAGTTTTTTTCGTTTTGTTTTTTTTTATGTTGTACTTACAACAATCTTGCTTTCTGATATCACATGTGCGTGGGCGCATCTTTTTTTTTTTTTTTTTTTTTTATACACATTACTTTGAAACAACGTGTTCGAACGTTCATTTCCGAGCTTATTACACATATTATTGACGAGTACCGGCAATAATCCTTGAAAAGTAATTTAATTTGTTCACAAATCCGAATTACCGGACGCAAATTTTACGTGGCGAATAATGAAAATATTTTTACGGAAAGCATTCGATAAGTGCATTGAGATCTAATGGATTTAATGAGTTTCTGTCGTCGTAATTGATACTAGAGAGGCAATCCTGCCTGCGTGGCACTTTCCGCAATCGGACGAAGTTTAGAAGTTTAATTATCGGCTTTGATTGCTCGCCCGAAGACTGTAATAAATTGCAGTAACTGTCGATCGATGTAAATTCGATCTGCAAATCGTTCTGAAATTAATTGTCGTGAAGCAATTTATCATTGAACGTTGTACGACAGCGCGATGTAACACAAAGGTATTACTACTTCTGCGGTTTTTCAACCGCAGAGAAGTTCAATAATTTTTCAATAGTTTTTAACCACGTGTTAATATTTTATATTTTATTCTCATGTAAAATAACGTTTTGACGTTAAATATTTTACGCACTATCTATAGCCACAATAGATATATATCGTACACTCGTGCACACATGTATTTTATTACATAAAACATATATATAACGGAAATATGTATAAATGCGTATCACACAAAAAAAATCGTAAAATGTTATAATAATTCACGGTATTCGTGCTTTGCCGTGTGCAATCAGAGTTAATTAATTTAAAAGTTTTTGTCGCGCTTCTATATACAGACTTTTAAAATCTACGTGAATAGGTGCAATTTGAAGTCGATGAAAGAGATTACTCGCGGAGTCGCTAATTATTTCAAGCTTCCTGAAATTTCCTCTTCTTCCATTGAGCATTGTTCGTCCCACATTAGCCGCAGTCATTGCGCGTCTAATTCTACCGGAGCGCATTACTTGACTGGGACGACGAATCGTCTATTGTTTTCATCGTTCTTCTTTGTTATTTAATAATATCTTTGCGTGAATACAACTTTGCGGTACGTTAAATTAATAAAACTCTTTAAATATTACAAGAAACAAGAATTACATTTAACATTACGCTAAATTATTAAATAGTTTGCAAATTAAATATATTGCTACTTATTTCCTAACGTCTTCTTCGAACTGGGTTGAATCAGTGTTTTTTTTTTCTGCTGAAAATAAAGTAAAACGATAATGAATAAAAAAAGCTGCGGTATTAATCGAGACAAAAGCAACGTTCTACCATCTCTCTACGGTACGTTTAATAAATCACATCGATCTTTAGGTCTGTTGAACTTTTTAGTGGCGAACGAGGCCTTATCACACGCTGCTAATCATTTGTTAGCGACCGGCTCTTGCGACTTACGAAGTAAATTTTTTCCTGTGACCATAGATTACCGCGGTAGCGTGTCTGCTTCCTGGACTTGAAATGGCTTAACACGCGAGATTGATCCTTTCTGCAGGGCAACATGTGTGCAATTTTTTGCACAATTGCCTGTGAATGTTTGAATTTATGTATTTCACGTGCACTTTGTGTATATTAGCAAAATTGCGCGCATTTAGTTCTCTTCACAGTTGCATGTAGTTGTTATAAATTTTTAAGATCAGTAATAAATAATATTTAAAGTACGAAAAAAACATCTATATAATTAAAACGTAATTTAGGAAACTGAAAAGATCGTTATAATAATTATATTGTTTAAAAACCAGATCTCTGATTTGAGACTCACAAACGTCTTTAGTCCGAACGTATTAAGAATTTTTGTAAACAGAAAAGCAAAAATGTGTGTGTTGTCGTGAAAATTTATATTATATATATATTGCATGTACAATATTATTATACATTGTACGTAATAATATCGAGAACGAGAGAAAGACACACTTTCCAGTTGTATTAAGGCACGTGTATATGCGCTTGTATAAAGTGTTGCAGTTACCCGCTGGGCTTTAATTACGAGCACGAAACATATACGGGACACGCTACCATCCGCACATTTCACGTGCATAGATTGCCACGTTCTCATCCCCGGCTGTTCGCCGGTAGAGCCGCTTTAAGTGGCGTTAACTCGCACCGTCTTGGAATTGCCTGGCGAAGTTGTCTGTATTCTCTCAGCTCGGTTCCTACAACGTTTTAGCCCTTCTAATCAGTGTAAATTTATGCGTCTCGGAATGCATACGCGATGATGCACCACAGTGCCGCGGATGTGTCACGAGAGAGTTGGTTTGTGTCGTAAAGAAAAAAAAACGATCATTCGGCAAATGGTACGGGATCGGTGTTTTTGACATCATCATTTATCTTCCGATATAGACGTAAGAATAAATTGAACATCTTTGCTATAACAATATCGTATTTGCGGCTTTGTTGTACTCGCTTTTTGTGTGTCTCGGGTTTTAGTTTGACGTTCAACGTATTCGATATATTCGAAATTGTCAAAAGTTTGCGGAAACTAAGAAAGAAAATACTATGCGAGGTCATAAATTTCAATTTGCTGCATTATTTCGTTTCACGAGAGACGCGTGTTGCGGTTGAAAAGTTCGGGTGTACCTTGTACGAGTGATGCGCAAGTATCGACAATATTTGCAGCAAATTTCAGTTCACTATCTTCGCGTGAGTTTAAGATAACAGTATAAATTACGGATTTTGAACTTGCAACAGTTCAACAGTGTAATCTACGATGCATACGTTTGCATATTTCATTTAGTGCTTAGCTCGTAAATCAAGAATATCGGGTAGACATAATACATCTCGCCCGCATAATGAGTTAATTGCTGTTGGGCCCGGAATATCGCTGCCTATGTTATATCTGTAGTCGGTGCTGCGCGTGGCTCTTACAATTTGCCCAAATAAGCTCAGCAATTTATGTCCGCGCAAGTCCGGAAGAGAGAGAGGGAGAGAGAGAGAGAGAGAGAGAGAGAGAGAGAGAATGAGTGAGTGAGTAAGTCTCAGAAATCGATTCGATGTCTCAGCGCGTTCCGAAGTTTCTTCCTACTTCGGCGCTATAATTGATATTGCGCTTGAGATAGACTTAGACGGTACCTATATACGGTATCGGAAATCTTTTATCCCGTTGTCAAGAAAATTTGTTTAAAGTCGCGCGTCCTCGTAACCTTCACTTGAAGAGATTTCTCAGGGGATAGATTTCAGGAGCTATACGAGTTACCCCGAAGGGATATTTTCTACCGAAAGACCGACTTATCGATTTTCTTTCAATCGTTTCCATACCAGCTGGTTGTTACACCAACACACGTTGCTTTATTCTGCTAAAGCCTAAGTAGATCCCACTATAGAACGTATAGTCGTCACATCGATTCCTTCTCCCCGGTGGATTTTGTATTCCTGCCTGTGTTCCCTATGACTTTCCTGACGAATGAGTAGAGAGAGAACGAAAATGGAGGAAAGTATCTCGAGATAAGCCTGCTGCCTGTTTCTATCTTCCGCAGTTAAGACCCGGCTTTCGCGCGGAAAATGCCTTCTTGTTTTGTCTTGACGCATACACTCGCTTTATCAGTGTTGTTCGAAATTAAAATCGATCAATTAATCCGTCGCTAAGGCATCGTTTGTTATTCTGTCCGCGACGTTGAAAAATTTCCGTCCTTTCTAACATTGAAATACTTTCTGACTAAAGCTACTTACTTCGTCATTATTCATATTACATAATTATTTTTATAAAATATAATCTTATAATATAATCTTTTATTAATATGTGTATA